AAATTTCACAAATCAAGTTTTTTAATTTTTATTTTTTATGAAATAATGAATTATTAAATCAATTTATTATTAAATATTTAATTCTAATATAATATAATTACCCCACCCCACCTCCACCACCCCTACCTCTCCGGGGATTATTTCGGTTACCGTTTCGGTCACAAATTATCTCCGGCGACTATTCCGATTCCGACGAAAAATTTTAGGTCACAATTTCTTTATCGGTCACAACTTAAAAATTTAAAAGTCACAATTTGTTCATCGGTCACAGATCACAAAATTTATAAGTCACAATACTTATTTATGGTCACAAACATCACATTCATTGAATATAAATTATATTTAGGTCACAATTNCTGGCGAAAATTTTTAGGTCACAATTTGTTTATCGGTCACAACTTAAAAATTTAAAAGTCACAATTTGTTCATCGGTCACAGATCACAAAATTTATAAGTCACAATACTTATTTATGGTCACAAACATCACATTCATTGAATATAAATTATATTTAGGTCACAATTTATAAAATTATTGGTCACAAATTAATAATATTTAGGTCACACACCATGTAATCATCACATTTTATCTAATTCATTGGTTACATGTCGTTTATTGGTCGCCAACGAACCAAATTAGTGGTCACAAACAACATAATTATTTGTGACCACCACCAAATCACTTGCCAATTTGCCACTGCCTCCACTAATGGCACCACCACTTTCACCGCCCAATAGCAACATCAACATATTAAACACCACACCCTCATACCACCAATATCACTACCCCCAAAACCGCATCCACACAAAAAACCACCATTACTTCACCATCATCGAGATGACAGCGACGACGATGCTACCAACACCAACACAACCGTTTCCGAGCTCCAACTCACTACCCCCCCAACAATACCAAAACATGGAACCACGGCCACCACTACCACTCCAACAACAAAATCCACGATCTCAACAAGGAACGACGACCGTAGCTTTACGCACCTGACACCCAACCGTCGCACCCACACACACCCAACTGCACACCCAACAAATCTGAAACCACCACAACAGATCTGGCCAGTGACTACCACAACCACCACAACAGATCTGGCTGTGCCTGTCGGATTGCAATAGTAGCATGCTACCTTTAATTTTACAGTGACGAAGATGCTCATTGCTGATTGTAGCGGCTCTCGTCGTTGTTGTCAATAGCAGCAGTGCTCGCCACCAGTGAAATTTGCTGCAGTGTTCAACGTTGGTGCTAGTAATTACAAAAGCACCGCGTGCTGCTTCTACATGGCAATATGTCGTCGATGTTAAAAAGGCGGCGAGAGAGAGAGAGAGAGAATAAGCCTGTTGGATCTACGAAACCCTAGGGAAAGAGGCGGGTAAGAGTGAAGAGGAGAAGATGGAGAGGAGAGGAAGAAGAGCCGCGGGCGGAGGAGGCGGGGTAGAGCAGAGAGTCGGGAGGATGAATTCAGAGTTGAGAGGTAATTGGTTAATTGCTTTTAGGGTTTGGAGTAGATGGTGATGGGGGGAGAATATATAAATTAATTTATTGTAAGTAGATATAAAAATAAAAATAAAAAAATGTTTTTAAATTATTAATTAAAACCTGATTTTTGTAGTATGAAAATTGATTCGTGATTTTTGAACATGGTAATTTAAAAGTAGGGGGTGTGTAATTTCCTCTAAATATATTCATGATTTTTGAAAATGATAATTTAAAAGTAGAAGTTGGTGTAATTTCCTCTAAATATAATCAAATTAACATTCATCACGTCCCATTTAGTACTGCATAATAATACTAACAATATACTACAAATTTTACAATTAGGATAACAGTATATAATAAACACAAAAAAATCATGTTACTACGTGGATATACAAATATTGTCTTCATCCTGGTAAACTTATTGACAGGTACCTTCCACCATATACCTCATTTCTACCAGTTCAGGAGGATGAACAAAGCCCACTTGAGTGTGAAGGGACGAAGAGAAGAAGAAAATGGATTGCCAAAAATCTCATATTTTCACAGCTTTCATTTCTCGTCATCTTTATTATTCTCATATGTATTACAGAAAGAAAGAGCATCAAAGAAGATCCCATCAACTTCAGCGTGCTCAATATCGTAATCGAAGTTATAAGGTAAAATTTTAATTACTTATCGGTTTCTTTAATTTTTACCATGAATATCATTAATCATAGGATTTGTTCTCCCAACACAAATCCGACCATTATTGAGAGACTTAGGAAAATCCAATGATTACAAATGTAAGAAAATTAAAAAGCACAACCATCGTGATACCTACCAAGAGCACTAAATTAAATTGCTTAATCTGGTAGCCTGCCAGTCGACTTTCCATTACTGACATGACACCAATAGTTAAGAAAAAAGTCCTTTTTTCATGAAATATATTTTTTATTTCATATATAATGATTGGCAACAAATTTATGAATTGGTTTATATATTCAGTTAACAACATTAATGGGATCCACTGCTATTCTTATATATAAATTTGTCAGACTGAGGCTAGATATTCCATTAATTGATCTCGCTCACAAATAACTCATCAATTGTAATAAATTCATTAAGATGGAGATTTAAGTCATTCGGGTCCAGCACAGGATCCGGCGGGAAGCACTTTATCACTGCCATAAGATTGCTGCCTCTTCAGGCTCCTCTGCGTAATCAAGGGAAGTAGACTTTCCTCATTTTGTCTGGGAAGTGGAGTTGCTGTGAGCCCCTGAAGAAAAGCATGGTTATTATAAACAGTTTATAATAACTGAATACAGGAATGCTAACAGTTTATATATAGATAAATTAAAGAAGTGAAAATAAAACCTAATATGGTCCATTAATCAGAACATTTGCAATGAAAATGGATGATGATGGAAGCTTCAAAATCTTGAATTAATTTTATTCTTGATTAATTTGTGATTTTGTAATATTATTGCAGTGCTCATGGAAATGTGGGCTTCACGACTGGCTATAGTTGTGAACGTCAGCTACGGCCTCAAGCAAATTGTACGAACAAATGGTACGGATTCTCCGGAAAATGGAGTGACGAGGGTAAAATAATTCTCATTCTTGTCATGTTTTGTGGAAGACTGAAAAACTTCAATGTGAATGGAGGTAAAGCATGGAAGCTCATGTAAGTGAAAAATGGCACAATGTTTTGTACAAATAATATAAAAAAATGTATTGCTAATACTGAATTAATCGCTCTCTGTACACTCTTAAACTAGATTGAAAAATCGAATTATTAAGGTTGACCTTACGTGTGAAATTATGCAANCGCTCTCTGTACACTCTTAAACTAGTTTGAAAAATCTAATTATTAAGGTTGACCTTACGTGTGAAATTATGCAATTAACAAGTAACAAGTCACTTTTAATTATTTTTAGATAGAATTCCAAGAACGCCACGTTCTTGTGCTTTTCCTGCACTTGTAGTTCAACCTCTCTTAACCCCAGCAGCATCTGAAGTTCAATGGATTCGATGTTTTTCCCCCAATCATTGGTTGTATAATCTCAAGAGTAAACGGATTGAATCTGACGCCGGACAGAATAGTGATTATTCCGCAGGCTGGAACCAATGGACAAATATAGAGAAGAACGCGAGAAAAACACCAAGAGAAACGAGAAAATTCTNCGCTCTCTGTACACTCTTAAACTAGGTTGAAAAATCTAATTATTAAGGTTGACCTTACGTGTGAAATTATGCAATTAACAAGTAACAAGTCACTTTTAATTATTTTTAGATAGAATTCCAAGAACGCCACATTCTTGTGCTTTTCCTGCACTTGTAGTTCAACCTCTCTCAACCCCAGCAGCATCTGAAGTTCAATAGATTCAATGTTTTTCCCCCAATCATTGGTTGTATAATCTCAAGAGTAAACGGATTGAAACTGACGCTGGACAGAATAGTGATTATTCCGCAGGCTGGAACCAATGGACAAATACAGAGAAGAACGTGAGAAAAACACCAAGAGAAACGAGAATTCTTTATTATTCAACAACTGAACGAAAATAACCCACAAGCCGGGTTAAATAACTAGAAAATATTAATTATCGGAATTTTGCCAAAAATAGCAAAATCTATTATTCATACCAAAACGAAATACGTCATGAAAGGAAGAAGATCCCAAAAATCTAACTAAATTTGAGATCGTAATTTATGTCAGAAAGGAAATCGAAATATTACTAAAAATGGCAAAAAATAACTTAAATTGATTATTCTGNACCAAAACAAAATACGTAATGAAAGGAAGAAGATCCCAAAAATCTGGCTAAATTTGAGATCGTAATCTATGTTAAAAAGGAAATCGAAATATTACTAAAAATGGCAAAAAATAAATTTAATTGATGATTCGGAAGTGAAAACAGCTGAATTTGACCTCGAAATCGATGCACACCGAGCATATCTGGGTGCCCACGACGTGCGTGCCGGAAAGAGATTTCCGAATTGGGGTCATGGGCATGATTCTGACAACCGTAGCCAAAGTTATGGCCAAAATACTGAAACATGTCCAAAGGCTGCCCCAATTAGGAAAGATCGATGATTACTTGCCATTCTTGTGCTGATCCCCCAACTCATGGTATCTCAGCACCATTAACGAGCTATCAGACAGCTTGGCCTCGTTTGGCTTGGATCTCCCTGCATCAGTCGCCCTGGGTTGGAAAGAACTCGTCCTC